TCTGCCTGTCTATTTTTGTGCCAATACCAAGCTGTTTTCAGGACTATAGCTCTATAATAGAGCTTGAGGTCAGGGATAGTGATGCCTCCGGACGTTGCCTTGTTGAACAGGGTTGTTTTGGCTATCCTGGGTCTTTTGTTTTTCCATACAAAATTGATTATTGTTCTTTCAAGGTCTGTGAAGAATTGTGCTGGGATTTTAATGGGGATAGCATTGAATCTGTAGATTGCTTTTGGCAGGATTGCCATTTTTACTACATTGATCCTACCTATCCAAGAGCATGGGAGATCTTTCCATTTTCTGAGGGCTTCTTTAATTTCTTTCTTTAAAGATTCAAAGTTCTTACGATACAGGTCTTTCACTTGTTTGGTTAGCGTTACCCCAAGGTATTTTATGTTGTTTGTGGCAATTGTAAAGGGTGATGTTTCTCTGATTTCTCTTTCAGCCCTTTTATCATCTGTATATAGTAGGGCTACTGACTTTCTTGAGTTGATCTTGTAACCTGCCACTTTGCTGAAGGTGTTAATCAGCTGTAAGAGTTCCCTGGTAGAGTTCTTTGGGTCATTGATGTAAACTATCATATCGTCTACAAACAGTGAAAGTTTGACTTCTTCCTTCCAAATTTGTATCCCCTTGATCCCCCTTTGTTGTCGTATGGCTATAGCTAGAACTTCAAGTACCATGTTGAAAAGGTATGGAGAGAGTGGACAGCCTTGTTTTGTTCCTGATTTTAGAGGAATTGCGTTGAGTTTCTGTCCATTTAGTTTGATGTTGGCTGTTGGTTTACTGTATATGGCTTTTATTATGTTTAAGTATGTCCCTGTTATCCCAGATCTCTCCAAGACCTTTATCATGAAGGGGTGTTGGATTTTGTCAAAGGCTTTTTCAGCATCTAGTGAGATGATCATGTGATTTTGGTTTTTTTGTTAATTTGCGTGTTCACTCTCTGCTGTTTGGTAAGTTTGGACAAAGGTTTGTCTATCTTGTTGATTTTCTCAAAGAACCAACTCTTCGTTGCATTGATTCTTTGTATTGTTTTCCTGGTTTCTACTTTGTTGATTTCAGCCCTCAATTTGATTATTTCCTGGCGTCTACTCCTCCTGGGGGAGTTTGCTTCTTTGTGTGCTAGAGCTTTTAGCTGTGATGTTAATTCTCTGGTATAACTGTTTTCCTGTTTCTTCATGTGAGCACTTAGTGCTATGAACTTCCCCCGTAGCACTGCTTTCAAAGTGTCCCATAGGTTTGGGTATGTTGTGTCTTCATTCTCATTGAATTCGAGGAAGTCTTTAATTTCTTTTTTATTTCCTCTTTGACCCAGGGATGGTGCAGTTGAGCATTATTCAATTTCCATGAGTTTGTAGGTTTTCTGCAATTTGTGTTGTTGTTGAATTCTAATTTTAAGGCATGGTGGTCTGATAAGATGCATGGAGTTATTCCAATATTTTTGTAGCTGCTGAGGTTTGATATGTTGCCAAGTATGTGGTCGATTTTTGAGAAGGTTCCATGTGGTGGTGAGAAGAAGGTATATTCTTTTTTATGTGGATGAAATGTTCTATAGATATCTGTTAATCCCAGTTGGGTCATTACTTCTATTAGACCCTTTGCTTCTTTGTTGAGTTTCTGTCTGGTATTCTTGTCTAGTGGTGAGAGTGGTGTGTTGAAATCTCCCACTATAACTGTGTGGGGCTTTAGATGAGATTTAAGTTCTAATAATGTTTCTTTAACGAATGTGGATGCCTTTGTATTGGGGGCATAGATGTTCAGGATAGACACTTCATCTTGGTGGGTTTCACCTGTGATGAGTATGTAATGACCTCCTTCATCTCTTTTGATTGATTTTATTTTAAAGTCTAGTTTGTTAGATATTAGGATTGCTACCCCTGCTTGTTTCTTGGGTCCATTTGATTGAAAAATTTTTCCCAACCTTTAACTCTCAAGTAATGTCTGTCTTTGAGGGTGAGGTGTGTTTCTTGTATGCAGCAGAAGGAAGGGTTCTGTCTTCGAATCCATTCTGCTAGTCTGTGTCTTTTTATGGGTGAGTTAAGGCCGTTAATATTGAGGGATATTAATGACCATTGATTGCTCATCCTTCTTCGATTTGCGATGGTTGTTGTTGGTGGAATTATGGGTGGAATTTCACACCTTTGTTCTTTTGGCTGTTGGTAGAGAGGATTCTCTAATGCTTATGTTTTTCTGGTTGTAGTTAGCTTCCTTGGGTTGGAGTTTTCCTTCCAAAATTTTCTGTAGGGCTGGGTTAGTGGACACATATTGCTTGAATCTAGTTTTGTCATGGAATATCTTGTTTTCTCCATCTATAGTGATTGAGAGCTTTGCCGGGTATAGTAGTCTGGGCTGGCATCCATGGTCTCTTAGTGTAGGTAGAATATCTATCCAGGACCTTCTGGCTTTCAGAGTTTCCATGGAGAAATCAGCTGTAATTCTGATAGGTCTGCCTTTATATGTTACTTGACCTTTTTCCTTAGCTGCTCTTAATATTCTTTCTTTATTCTGTATGTTTGGGGTCTTGATTATTATGTGGCGAGGGATTTTTTTTGTGGTCCACTCTATTTGGTGTTCTGTAGGCTTCTTGTACCTTCATTGGCATGTCTTTCTTAAGGTTGGGAAAGTTTTCTTCTATGATTTTGTTGAATATGCCTTCTGCCCCTTTGAGGTGGATTTCTTCTCCTTCTTCTATACCTATTATTCTTAGGTTTGGTCTTTTCATGGTGTCCCATAATTCCTGGATGTTTTGTGTTAAGGATTTGTTGGATTTAAGGTTTTCTTTGGTTGATAAATCCATTTCTCCTAATGTATCTTCAACACTTGAGATTCTCTCTTCCATCTCTTCTATTCTGTTGGTAATGCTTGTATTGGTAGTGCCTGACTGTTTGTCCAGCTTTTCTATTTTCTGCCTTTCTTCAGATTGTGTTTTTTTTAGTGTCTCTATTTCAGTTTTCAACCCTTGCAGCGTTTGCATTGCTTCTTGCAATTTTCTGTTTATCTGTTCGTCCGTTTGTTGCCTTTTATGAATTTTTTGATTTGTTCTTTCTTCCATTTCTTGCATTTTTTGGTTTGCTTTTTGTTCCATTTCTTGGATTTTGTGCTTTGTTTCTTCTTCCATTTCCTGCCTTTTTTGGTTTGTTTCTTCCTCCATTTTTTTCATTTTTTGCTTTGTTTTTTTCTACCATTTCTTGCATTTTTTGCTTTGATTCTTCTTCCATTTCCTGCCTTATTTGGTATGTTTCTTCTTCTAATTCTTGCATTTTTTGCTTTGCTTTTTCTTCCATTTCTTGCATTTTTTGCTTCATTTCTTCTTCCATTTCGTGCTTTTTTTGGTTTGTTTTTTCTTCCAATTCTTGCATTTTTTGGTGTGTTTTTTCTTCCATTTCTTGCATTTTTTGGTTTGTTTTTTCTTCCATTTCTTTGAGGGATTTTCCAATATCCTATTTTAGGGCCTCTATCATTTTCATGAAAGTGCTTTTAAGGTCGTTCTCTTCTGCTTCCTTCGCGTTGGAATACTGGGGTCTTGCTGGTGTGGAGTCTCTAGAATCTGGCGGTGTCATATTTGTTTTTCTGTTGCTGACTGTGTTTTTGTATTGTCTCTTTCCCATCTCTTCTTCTAGTGGGTGCAGAAAGAGCCCCTTCCTGGTCTGGGGACCAGAGTTCCCTTTTGGTGGGTGCTAGTAAGTCCAGTAATCTGGTGGTTCTTCTATGCCTTGTCCAAATGCTGGTCCGTGGGTAGAGAAGAAGAACAGGAATCTGGGGCGCTTAGCCTCCTACCTGGTCCCCTGGACCCTATGCTGGGTCCTGTTGTACCTGATCCGGAACTGCTACTCCCCTGGTCTCCCTGACTCCTGTAGTTTCCTGGTCTCTTTGGTGGGAGAGAAGATCTGGAGTCTGGGGTGCTTGGCTCCCGCTGGGATTGGGAGCTCTGTGCAGTTCCCAGGCGATCTGCAGGCTCTGGAACACAGGCCGGGAAGCTGGCCTGTTTACCTGATGGTGCCAGAGGGACAGCTACTTCCCTGTGAGCCCAGCCTTCTCTAGTTTCCTGGACTCGTTGGTGGGAGAGAAGATCTGGAGTCTGGGGTGCTTGGCTCCCGCCGGGATTGGGAGCTCTGTGCAGTTCCCAGGCGATCTGCAGGCTCTGGAACACAGGCCGGGAAGCTGGCCTGTTTACCTGATGATGCCAGAGGGACAGCTACTTCGAAAGTCATGTTTTTATACCAGATATTTTCCTGATATTATGTGGAGTTGATCTCCCCAAATATGCTTTGCAGCATAAAATTTCAACTGTATTTATTGACATTTCACTATTTTTCACATCACTGAATATCTCAGCAGCAATGGACAGAAATGTACTGTAAGAATGTGGATGTAACTAAGACATATTTACAAAATTTGAAATATACTAAGATAAATAAGGATACATATACAAATGTTTTTAAAATTTTAAGTAACTTATTAACAAAGAATTAAATCACCCTCAATTGAGAATACTATTTTAAGTTAAAGAATAAAAGAAAACCATAGAAGATGCTGGAGTCTGAAAATTTTTTTCTGGTTTGGAGTCATAAATTGTTATTTAGAGACTAGGGCTTCACACTGTCAGGTATATTGCAAGTGAAATAATTTTGCCCCATGTTACTGCAATAAGAAAAAGCATATTTAAATGCTTCAAGTTTTCATTTTATTTCATCAGGAGTTTATGTAAAGTTAAACTTCTACAAAATACCTATTTTGTCTTAAAGGTATTTTCTTTATTTTATTATGACTACAGGCTAATTGTTTGTAGTAACTCTGACCTCATCTTCTAGATTACTGTATTAAACATGGGTCTCATAAGAGGTAACGCATAAGGACAAAATATGGAGTAATTATTAATGATGTCATAATAAACTTGAGAAAATAATATATTTATTTGTACTTAGTTGACTCAAATTGCAAAAAGGGTGTACATGCATACTAGTCTCATTGTTAACAATATTTTTGGTTTCCTCCAGAAGATGTTCAAGAAATAAAAACATGCAAAACACAACATCTGTTTCAGAATTCCACTTCATTCAACTCTCAGAGGATCCAGACCTACAGCCTGTTCTCTTTGGCCTATTCTTGTCCATGTACATCTTGGCCCTGTTTGGAAACCTGCTCATCATCCTGACAGTAAGCTCTGACGCCCATCTCCACACACCTATGTACTTCTTCCTCTCCAACCTGTCCATGGTTGATGTTGGTTTCATCTCCACCACTGTTCCACGGCTGATTGCGGACATCCAGACTCACTGCCCAGTCATCTCCTACATGGGCTGCCTGATACAGATGTCACTGTTTGTAATTTTTGCATGTATGGATGACATGCTTCTGGCTGTGATGGCATATGACAGGTTTGTGGCCATCTGCCACCCTCTGTATTACCAGGTCATTATGAATCCCAGTCGCTGTGGTGTCTTACTTCTAGGGTCATTTATCGTTAGTCTTCTGGAATTACTGTTGCACTATTTGGCAGTATTAAAAATTTCCAACTTTGGGAAAGATAATGTAATTTCTAACTTCTTCTGTGGTTCTTCTGAAGTCCTCAAACTTGCCTGTTCTGATAGTGTCATCTGTAACATAGTCAGATATTGTATAAGCACCATCTTTGGGTTACTTCCTATTCCAGGAATCATTTTCTCTTACTTTAAAATAGTTTCCTCCATCATGAGATCATCATCATCAAGTGGGAAGCACAAAACCTTCTCCACCTGTGGGTCTCATTTGTCCGTTGTATGCCTGTTTTATGGAACAGCACTAGGAGTGTCCTTCAGCTCTTCTCTATCACATTCTCTAAGAAGTAATGCAGTGGCCTCAGTGATGTACACTGTGGTCACTCCTATGTTGAATCCCTTCATCTACAGCCTGAGGAATAAGGACATTAAAACTGCCTTAAGGAAGATTCTTAGCAGAATGTCAAATCATTGACATTCTTTATAAATTCACATTTTATATCTATTCATTAAATGTATATGTACATCCCAGCTAAGGTGTCAACACATTGTAATTAACTGATACTTCACAATATTGCATGTGGTTATTGACGCTGCAATATGGTGATGGGCAGTTTTAGAAATGAACAAAAATTTGAAATTGCAGAGATGAAACTTTTCTAGGGATGATAGATGCAGATTTCTGAACAACTCCTTACAATACAAGTGTAATCAACACATTAAAACTATCAAAGGAGCCACATTAAAGGGGCCATTCTGCTGAATTGTGTTTTATAAATGACAGAGTCCCAGACTTGTCAACCAGTGTGCCTGAACAGGGCCTGCACAAGAAAGACATGATTAAACATGCCTATGTGAAAGGGGAAAGATTAGCAGGCCTCATTCTTAGAGAAAGAATTATTTTTAAGTCCCTAAATTATTTATTGATTTGATAAATTGTAATATGTTACTATTTTGTTGTGTAATTTCTTCAGATGAATCAATGTTTTAAATTTATTTTTTAAAATTTCATTTTACATTGCAACCAAAATTCTCATTCCCACCTCTCCTCCTCCCCTTTCCTTTCTCAAGCCCACCCCATATCAATTTCCAACAGGTAAAGTCTCCCATGTGGAGTCTTCACAGTTGGGCACATTACGTTGTTGCAGTACCAACCCCTCCCCACTGTGTTGAGACATAGCATGAAATATACTCATAGACAATGGACTCCCATTCATGTACCTGGTCCTACTGCCAGGGGTCCCTCAGACAGACCAAACTACACAACTGTCTCCAACACAAGAAGGGTCTAGTTTGGTCCCACAGATACTCCATTGCTGTCTGTCTAGAGTTCACACGTTTTCATGAGCTTAGTTCAACTTTCTCTGTAGATTTTTCCATCATGATCTTGAACTCCCTTGCTCATGTATTCCTGAAAGAGATACCATGATAGAGAAAGAGCCAGTATGGGGTTAAGGAGAAACCTGATTCTAGGTAAATAAATCCCCAGGAATCCACAAGGATGGCCCAGTTAAGACTTCCAGCAATAGTGGTGAGGATGCCTGAGCTGACCTTCCCTATAATCAGATTGGTGAATACCCCAAATATCATTATAGAATCTTCATTCAGTTATTGATGGAACCAGAAGCAGAACCTACTACTAGGCTGAACTCTGGGAATCTAGTCACTTAAGGAATTTTGATAGCAGGAGAAATATCAGCAGTTAGAGAAATAGGCAAAGAATTTGAAAGAGAGCAAGGGTGGGTACATGGGAACTAGGGAAGGAGGGAGGTGAGAGCTGCTGGATTTTCATTATAATCTCATTTAAAAAATATTTAAACAAAATCAATTATTTTTTAACAATACCCATAGCAGGGTGGCACTTATCACCTCCAGATAATATGTGGGGTACATGCTATTGGGTTTACTTATGATATACTTATGAATATTACTTGATTTTTTTTCCAACTTAAGTCATTATGTGAGCTGTCAAAATAACTAGCCTGGTATTTAAGTGAGAGAATTAAAGTTCATGGATAAGGATTGACATGAATTAAAATCCACTAATGAAGCATGAGATGACTGGAGTTCACAATGCTCTTGTCCTTCTCAGTTTTTGAAGTTCTCCCCAGTTTCAATGGTTGTTGTGTTTACAGTGTCCACAAAACTGCGACACACCACTGTAGAATGTGGATCAAAAGAAGAAGAATATAAGATTCATTCCATGTGACTTTTTTAAAAGGGGAATTGATAGAGTTGTACTTATGAACATACACTTTACCAATTCAATATCATTTTTAATAATTTTATATTTTATGTTTCTAGGAGATACATCATTCCATAATGGCAGATTTGTGTTTAATGGTTTCATTTACTATGTAAATATTAATTAATATTTTAAATAAAAGCACATTTTACATATCTCCTGCCAGTTTTGAATTGTATACTAAAAGAAAACTTTAATAGCATACTCACAATTTAATATAATATTGGTCAAAAACACAGACATGGACTTTCAAAAAGCATGACTTTCCAATAATAGGGAAACTACTTGGGAAAATGGAACACAATGACTTTGTCATCTGAACTATTAATTTTAATTCTATATTTAGACAATCATGTCCCTTGATATCATATGGGGCTTTAGTTACTCTAAACAGAGGGAAATTATATTATATCCTAGCAAAAGGTCATTGGAAACATAAATGTTTCCTACTTTTCTTTGACTAAAACAGTGTTTTGTAAATGGGGAAGAATTTATTTTGAGTGTTTTTTCAATAAAGTGACTGTATTTCACCATGATCCTGATGTCTTTTTATATAATATGATTTTCCTTCAAATAATGTGACACTGAATGCCAATAATTAGCTTTGCCTAGAAACATAAGAAATTAAACAGCAAAGAGACTCTCTGCTCCTACCTCCAGCAGAACAGCCAGGCAGATAGATCTCTGATAGCCTTCCTCAGGACCACATCCATTTGTCTCAGCTTCAAGCTTCAAAACCATTTCCTGTAAATTCACCAGCTACACAGTTGATGAAATTAGGTGGATATCTTCACTCTTACTCTTGCCCTTCATTTACAATCTACCATCCCATTTTCCAGTCCTGTACCAGACTAAATGTTATGGCTTCTATTTCCAGGGGTCCTAGGTAGATCCTGTTGGCATACCCTGGCTTTGTTACTACCTACTTGTGGACATCTGCAAACTCCCCCTTCTAACCTATAAGTTATCCTAATTGTCAGTCCCTAATACCTAATATCACATTGTACCCAGAACCCTCAGTGGCCACGCATAGATCTCAGAAGCATTTCCTGCCAGGCAACCCACAGCTACCACAGTCAACGAAGAATCAGTGAAGGAAAATAAAACCAAGGAACAAATCACTCTCCAACAGAGACAAGACCAGGTATTAACATCTATAATGACAATAATCTAAGACAACATGCCTATATACTAGTCTAAATTCATATTCAATGACAGCCAGTAAATATGTAGTCTCTATTACATAGCAAAGCAATACTATAGACCCTGAGTAATGCTATGGAGTTGAAGCACAGGACAAGCACTTCAAAATAGCATTCATATTCTCTTTTTTAAAATCATGATTTATTTTATTTTTTTACTTTAATTTTAAATAGCTTTCTTCACATGGGATTTGTGTTATTGTTGAATTCTAATTTTAATGCATGGAGATCTGATAAGATACAGGAGGTTATCCCAATTTTTTTGTATCTGTGGAGGTTTGCTATGTTTCCTATTAGAGAAGGTTCCATGTGGTGCTGAGAAGAAGGTATATCCCTTTGTGTTTGGGTGGAATGTTCTATAGATGTCTGTTAAACCCAGTTGGGTCATGACTTCTATTAGTTCTTTTGTTTCTTTGTTAAGTTTCTGTCTGGAGTTCCTGTCTAGGGGTGAGAGTGGAGTGTTGAAGTCTCCTACTACTAGTGTGTGAGACTTTATGTATGATTTGAGCTTTAGTAATGTTTCTTTCATGAATGTGGGTGCCTTTGTATTTGGGGCATAGGTGTTCAAAATTGAGACTTCATCTTAATGGACTTTTCCTTTGATGAATATGAAGTGTCCTTCTTCATCTCTTTTGATTGATTTTAATTTGAAGTATAGTTTGTTAGATATTAGGATTGCTACACCCACTTGTTTCATGGGTCCGTGTGGTTGGAAAATCTTTTCCTAACCCTTTACTCTGAGGTAACGTCTGTCTTTGACGTTGAGATGTGTTTCTTGTATGTAGCAGAAAGATGGGTTCTGTCTTTGAATCCATTCTGATAGTCTGTGTCTTTTTATAGGCAAGTTGAGACTGTTGACACAGAGGGATATTAATGACCATTGACTGATGATTCTTGTTTGTGCTTGATTTATTGGTAGTGGAGTTATTGTGTGCATGTTCTCTTCTCTTTTTCTTTTTGTGTTTGTTATATTGGAATTATCTATCGTCTGTGTCTTCGTCAGTGTAGTTATCTTCATTGTGTCTAGGTTTTCCTTCCAGCACTTTCTGTAGAGCTGGATTCATGGATACGTATTGTTTAAATCTGACTTTGTCATGGAATATTTTGTTTTCTCCATCTATGGTAATTAAAAGCTTTGCTAGATATAGTAGTGTGGGCTGGCATCCTTGTTCCCTTAGCGTTTGTAGGACATCTGTCCAGGAACTTCTGGCTTTCATAGTTTCCATTGAGAGGTCAGGTGTAATTCGGATAGGCCTGCCTTTATATGTTACTTGGCCTTTTTCTTTAGCTGCTCTTAATATTTTTCTTTATTCTGTAGGTTTGATGTTTTGATTGTTATGTGGTGAGGTGACTTCTATTTCTGGTCCAGCCTATTTGGTGTTCTGTAAGATTCTTGTATTTTCATAGGCATATCCTTTTTTTAAGTTAGGGAAGTTTTCTTCTATGATTTTGTTGAATATGTTTTCTGTACCTTTGAGCTGTATTTCTTTTATTTATTTATTTATTTATTTATTTATTTATTTATTATTTTTAAAAATTTTTTATCATTTTTTATTTTAATTTTAAATAGCTTGTTTTACATGTCAATCCCAGTTCCCTCTCCCTCCCCTCTTCCCACACCCCTTCCCCCTCCCTCCCACCCTATTGCCAAATCCTTCCACATAGGGGATATCTAGAGTCTGTCATTTTACTCTTGGTAGGGTCAAGGCACTCCCCTAAGAGTCCAGGCTGAGAGAGCATCTCTCTTTGTGCTATAGGCACATGAAGACAGTTTGTATACCAGGGATAGACACTGATCCACAGCTCAGGGCCCCATAGGTTGCCCAGGCCTTCTCACTGACACTCACATTTGGGGGGTCCAGATCAGTCCCATGCTGGCCTCCCCACTGTGGGTCTGGGGTCCAAGAGCACTCCCCTGTTCAGATCATTGAGCTGTATTTCTTTGCCTTCTTCTATACCTATTATTCTCAGGTTTGGCTTCTTCACGGTGATTGCCTTGGGACTGCCACAGAGCCTCCCCTCCCAGAGGAAGCCTAAGCATTCCAGTTTCCTGGTATTATCTACCCACACTACCAGTGCCTGGGGACTGCCACAGGGCCTTGCCTCCCAGCTGGAGATTACTCGTCTTCTTTCCCACCAAATGAACCAGATAAACCATGCCCTGTATCCTGGCCTGCCTTCCAGTGCCAGGGGACTCCCTGGGAAATGCCACAGAGCCTCCCCTCCTAGTGGGAGCCTAAGAGCCCCAGTTTTCTGTTCTTATTTAACCAGGGGACCAGTGCCTAGGGACTGCCACAGAGCCTCCCCCTTCCCAGCAGGAGCCACTGCACCCCAGATTTCGGGTCTTCTTTCTACCAACAGGACCCTGTATCTGGTCCTGCCTTCCAGTTCCTGAGGACAGCCTGGGGACTGCCATACAGCCTCCCATCCTGGATGGAGCCTAGGCACCCCAGATTCCTGGTCTTCTTTTCCACCAATGGGACCAGGTAAACTGGGCCCTGTATCTGGGCCTGCCATCCAGTGCCTGGGGACTGCATGGGGATTGCAACAGAGCTTCCCCTCAGGGCTGGAGCCTATGCACGCCAGTTTCCTGGTCTTCATCTCCACCCACAGGACCAGGCAATAAAGGGTCTTTTCTGGGCCTCTGTTTCAGTGCCTGTAGACTGCCACTGAGTCT